CTAACTCCTTCCCTTCATCCCTCCTTCCCTCAACACCTCCTTCCCTTCATCCCTCCTGCCCTTCATCCCTCCTTCCCTTAACACCTCCTTCCCTTCAGCCCTCCTTCCCTTAACACCTCCTTCCCTTCAGCCCTTCTTCCCTTCAATCCTCCTTCCCTTAACACCTCCTTCCCTTCATCCCTTCTTCCCTTCATCCCTCCTTCCCTTAACACCTCCTTCCCTTCAGCCCTTCTTCCCTTCATCCCTCCTTCCCTTAACACCTCCTTCCCTTCAGCCCTCCTTCCCTTCATCCCACCTTCCCTTAATACCTCCTTCCCTTCAGCCCTTCTTCCCTTCATCCCTCCTGCCCTTCATCCCACCTTCCCTTAATACCTCCTTGCCTTCAGCCCTTCTTCCCTTCATCCCTCCTGCCCTTCATCCCAACTTCCCTTAATACCTCCTTCCCTTCATCCCTCCTGTCCTTCATCCCAACTTCCCCTAACACCTCCTTCCCTTCAGCCCTTCTTCCCTTCATCCCTCCTGCCCTTCATCCCACCTTCCCTAAATACCTCCTTCCCTTCATCCCTCCTGCCCTTCATCCCTCCTTCCCTTAACACCTCCTTCCCTTCTTCCCTTCAGCCCTCCTTCCCTTCATCCCTCCTTCCCTTCATCCTTTTGACCCTTTATCTTTTCATCCCCTCTTCTGGTCTCCCCTTTTCTCTTTCTATTTTATTTCCTGCATACTCTTCTTTCCTTCTAGGTACCATCTTGAGGGCTTGTCTTCAGATCGACTGGAAACACATCCTTACTAGTGCACTTCCAGTTAAAGCAAAGATAAAGGAGCAAGGAAATGTCAGAAAGAGACTTGGGATGTTCCCTCTCTCTTTCACTCAAGACTCAACAGATGATGATGAATTGTTCTGATCCATGTTAGCATACACCTCTCTCACATAGAGCAACAGGTAGTAGAGGAACAATGATAGAGTGATAGCAGACAGAAATGTAATCCCTCTCTCACCTTCCCGAAGCTTCCCTTCCCGAGGACTTTGATGAACAGGAAGTCGTGCAGATTTAGCCGTTTCATTTCCGGAACATGACTTTTGACGTCTCCGTTCTCCCGTTCTCCTCCATGACTCCCCTCCGTCACCGTGTCCACAGATTTGGGGGAGGAGAGGGAGTGTTTCTTATGCCCCTCCCCCCTGTGATCGAAGGAAAGAGCCTTCCGGATGTTCTCCAGCTCCTTGGCATCTGCACACAGACAAAACAGTGCAAAGTTAATGTTGGTGTATTTAGTTTTAGGTGTCATACAGTTCAGTGATTCAATTATTCTTAGGCCTTTATTGTCATTTGCACAGAAGCTACGGCGCCAATATGAACCCAGGCTCCTTCAGAAGAGAATTGAAAGCCTTTATTGTCATTATATAAAAAAATACAATTAGATTTTGGAGTAAAATCCTGTCAAAGTGCACGAAGGAAAACAGACGAACAATAAAAACATGCCTGTAGGGCAGAGGAACGTAAACAATCATATAGGGGGTAGTATGTGTGTGAGATGTGTGTGAGATGTGTGTAGAAGTGTGTGAGGTGTGTGTGTGTGAGATGTGTGTGTGAGGTGTGTGTGTGAGGTGTGTGTGTGAGATGTGTGTGTGTGAGGTGTGTGTGAGATGTGTGTGTGTGAGGTGTGTGTGAGATGTGTGTGAGATGTGTGTAGAAGTGTGTGAGATGTGTGTGAGATGTGTGTGAGATGTGTGTGAGATGTGTGTGAGATGTGTGTGAGGTGTGTGTGAGGTGTGTGTGAGATGTGTGAGAGATGTGTGTGAGATGTGTGTGAGGTGTCGTGTGTGTGAGATGTGTGTGAGATGTGTGTGAGATGTGTGTGAGATGTGTGTGAGATGTGTGTGAGATGTGTGTGATGGAGAGTATTATCTACCCGGGTCACATGGGGAGGTTGGAGCCGACCTCGAACGATCGTCTTCAGTCTCTGTCGTCCCGGATATCTGAGGCCGGGACTCCTGACCCTGCAGCAGCTTCAGAAACACACACACACTCATTATAATAATAATAATAATGATATTATATCATAAGTTTATTTAGTATAGCACCTTTCACAGAAATAAAACTCATTAGTGCTTCACAAGAAAGAACAAAAGTTCAGATTAAGACCACAGAAACATGAACACAATAACAACATGAAGCATACATTAAGGTTAACATCAAAACACAGAGCGTGTGGAGTCCTGAAAGGAACACACATAAGAACAGAACACATCACACACATCTCAAGATGCTGCAGAGGGCATGGTTTAATTATGTGCATGCTGCAAACACTGATACATCTTTTTTATTTCTAGGAGGTCATGCTTGTCTGTATTTTTGTAAACGACTGTCCCAGTAAACATGACATTTGCTTGAATGGTGAACCATGGGCCGAGGAAGAAGTCTCTAGAATATTATTTACAATTTTTTTTTTTAATTGTGCAATACTAAACCTTAAAAGCTAATGTCTTTTACATGTTCGTACATTTTGCATTGCATTTAATCCCAGTTGTTCCATGGATGTTTAATAAGAACTGGATACAGCGTGGGAGGCGGGGTCTCGTTATTTCCTATGAGAGCTGCTCATTGGCGCATGAAAACAAAATGGCCCAATTTTTGAGAGAGCGAAACGTCAGATTACCCATCATGCCTAGCTGTCAGAGCAGAAGAACCCGTATGTGCGCTCACAGAGCATGCGCCCCTTAAGCCCCGCCCCCGGAGCTCCCACTCTCGGCTCAGTAGAATGAATGGAGACAGAAAATAAATCTAGATTCGGCTTTTAGTGCATTTTACAACTTTAAGGACCTAATGATTCTAATAAGGGCTATAACATAGTTCATACTGGGTAGTTTATTTACTGAAAATTATTTACAGACATCTCTTTCCCAATGTTAGTCAATGGGGAAAAGTATTTCTGGGCCGGGTGACGTCACGGACTGATACGGAAATTGTAGTACCGCCGTTTGGACACAACGAATATTTCAGAGTCCGGCGCACTTCCTGGGGGCTTGAGTTGTTCCCCTAAATAACAAGCTTCCATTGTACAGCTGATATTTGCCGGAAGGGGGGGGACCCAGTACATTTTACACGATTATATAATACAACTTCAGAAATCAAGGATCACATAAATGCAGCATCGAACTAGTTATAATAATACATTCATTTCATCTTCATTTTATCTATGATGGTTGTGGAGTATGGACTTTTTAAACGCCAGTATATTTATTTTACGTTATATAAATATGAGATGTTTGTACCTTTTTCCGCCTCAGAGCGCTGTTGCAGATTTTGTCCGGCGTCACTCCGAGGTCAGAGAGGACTTTAGCGATTGCTTTGGCGTCGACTCCACAGTTAGGGGCAACGTTACTCTCACAGCGCCTGTGCACGTTCACTTTACACACTGACACACACACACACACACACACACACACACACACACACACACACACACACACACACACACACACACACACACACACACACACACATGGTAAGACCCACCTGTACCGCACCACATTTTACAGAATACTTTATTCTAACCTTTTATGGTCTTTTATGTTACCATATTTTACTCAATATGTTCCTTAGATAACATTTAGTTTTACTCTCTATTCTCCTCATAGATTTGTGAAGCACCTTGAGATGACGTTGTTTTAAAAGTGTTGTTGAATAAAATGTATTATTAGCCTTATTACTTTCAATAACACTTCTTAGGTCCAGGTCTTCACAACAACAAGGTATGGTAAAAGGTGTCTTTATTTAAATTAAGTTAAATTGAGTTAAAACCCAGGTCAAATGTACGTTAGAGGGTCTTGAGAAATGTGTCTTTTCATTGATTGTAATGTTATGTTAAATGTCCCTTGTGGCATGACTTCATATGTCTTTGTTTGATGTCAAATGGAGCTGCTACTTTAACCGTTCCTTATCATTGCACTTTTAGCTGCAGCCATTATTATATCGCTTTTATGAATTGTCCTTTTTTTGTTTGTGTGTTTGTTTTGTTTTTAATTATTATGTGTTGAATGCCTACGTGAAGCACTTTGAATTGCCTCTGTGTCTTAACATGTGCTGTACAAATAAACTAACTTTGAACCTTGCTGTGATGCAAGAAGAAATGTCAGACTTGATCAGAGAGTAAAGTATTTATATTAAAAACATTTTATGTAGAAAAGCTGGCACACAGTTTGTGGTTACCTTTACACTGGAGCCCCTGCCTCAGCAGACCCCAGAGCAGAGAACCACAGTGATCGCAGAACGTCAGGACTTTAAAGTTGTGGATCCTGAACTTGTGTGGAACGTTGACGCTGAACCTCTGAGAACCAACGGGCTGAGAGACGGAACAAATGTGGGAAGTTACAGACATATCCTGCTGATGTTCAGGAGTATATCAGTATGTAGTGTCTCTACTTTAAAGAGTCCTCTCCTGCTGATGTTCAGGTGTATATCAGTATGTAGTGTCTCTACTTTAAAGAGTCCTCTCCTGTTGTGTGTG